TCAAGAACAACAATTTGTAAATCTAGATAAGCTAAAGATCAATCTATTATGTGCGGGTATCTGATCTACGACACGTTGCACTGCAATTGGTTGCAGTCATCAACTTTAAGAGAGTATAGTGAGAACATTAGGCTTGTCTAGACTCCTGTCCATATTAAATTTTCTTCTGTCATGGACTCTCCATTCTAATAAGTCAGTTCCTGGAGACTAAATACTGAACTCTTCATGTGGTTTGGTGGATTAGATTAGAGAAATGAAGTTGCCAAATGGATTAATAATAATAATTAATCTCTTTTTTCAGGTCTTCCTACTACTGGTTGTGTAATGCGCTCGGCATCTACTGCCCCGTCCAATGGGAGTACGGCCGTCTCAATGTCAACTACACTGTAGTGTCCAAGAGGAAAATCGCTAAACTCATTGAAGAGAAAATTGTGAATGGTAAGTAACTATTCTATGAAATATTAATTGCATTTGTTTGATGAAGAAACCAGTATAATTTGACATACTTTTAGGCGATTCGTTACCCGAAAGATCAAGCCTCCACTTAACCTTTATAATATGTATTTGACACCTGTAAATGTATTTGAACCTCTGTTTAAATACGTAAACAGGGCTCAACATCTAGTTGTTCACCAGTTATGTTCTCATTGCCAAGTCTCGATGATAAGCTATTGAGAGTAGTGCTTGACTGAGAACTATTTCATGTTTTATAAAATTAAGTGCACAAGACTTATGGCCTAGAGAAGCATGAGAAGGCGTTAATTTATTATCGTGTATTTTGATGGCTTCTATTGAGATGATTCACTTCAACTGAAATCGGTTAGGTTAACGGCATTATACTTTTATTTGTGCAGATTGGGATGACCCGCGACTGTATACGCTGACGGCCTTGCGCCGGCGCGGCGTACCCTCTGAGGCCATCAACACGTTCTGCGCGGGACTCGGCGTCACCGGCGCCGTCGGTGCCGTGGACCCCGCCATGTTAGACGCCAGTATTAGAGACGTACTTAACAATACAGCTCCCAGGTGAGTAAAAGTACCTATACAAATGTATTTTCTTTAGAACTACTGTTATATATTGTCGATACATCAGTCCTGTCTTGATTGTGTATTTTTTTCAATCAATGAAATATCGGGTTCAAATGTTTCGATACTTTTCAGCTATCGATATCTCAAGAACATTTACTACTGTCTTAAATGGGATCTAAAAGTCAACTGCACCAGTGTTTTGAAAAAACAATTGTTCAATCCTTAGGGTCAAGGTCAGGCAAAAAGTCCTAAAGGTTAAGTTACGGCTACCGGCTATCGCTTGTTCAAATTATGCGCAAAAGTTTTAAAGGGCAGTCTGTCATAATACTAACTGATAACGTTATCAGGTATGTTTCACATTAGCAGTTTAACATGACATGTAATGTTATTTCAAGGTTACCATGATATGTCCTCAATAAGCTCATGATAGGGCCAAGTTTGTTCTGGGAAAATGCGTTTTGTTAGGTAGTTTTATGTCCAATTACGTTTATCGGCTTATTCGTGTTACTGTGGAGCTCGATTAGTTTCCAGTCTCACCAAGGGCTCAAATTGTATTGTATCAAGAGTTTAATACAGCCTCAAAACCTCTGAAACTATGAAGAAAGTATTATTTAAAAACCGCACATTATGTAAAATTAAAGATTTTTATTTGTTTTCATAACGTTTTTCAGCAAATACTACAGAAGATAAATAATCATTATAATATAACCGTTTTTCTTCTGTGGTAGTTTCTGGAGACTAACTTTACAAATAGTTTAACCTGTGTATAGTCTGATTCTGAAAATTATTTATTGTATTTACAACATTTAATCTTGTGTCATTGTTTCAGAACGATGGTAACCCTAGAGCCACTAAAGATTACAATAACGAATTACCCACACGAGGGCTGCTTAGAGATCCCAGTACCAGACTTCCCAAGCGAACCAACTAGAGGGCAGCACAAAGTGAAGCTTAATAGAGTCCTTTACATCGAGGCTTCTGACTTTAAGGAAGTCCCTGAGGCTGGGTACCGGCGGTTAACACCCAATCAGACAGTTGGGCTTAGACATGCTGGCTATGTTCTTACGGTAAGACTGTACTACGATTGTACTATGTAATAGACTTGAGGGAGAAGGTTTTTTCTTTTAGTAAAGAGTTTTTGGTGTATTGATTAATATCAGAGCCTCATGTTCACATACTTGAACGCTACTAAATTTTAAGTAACTGTAAAAATAATCCTGTGTTACAAACTTTATATATAATATAAATACTTTATATATATAAAAACAAAAAAAAAAGTATTTTGACAAAAACAGCACGATACATTGTATATTTATTTATTTATGACTCACTACATGCCTATCCCTTCAGGCATAAGCATACAATTCGTGTATAAAATAGATACAACTTTAAATTCAGTAGTATTTTAACTTTTTGAAAGATTTTCTGTTTCGAGAACATTTTACAGAGGGCTAAGTATATACTTTTATTCAGGTTTTGAAAGTGAACAAGGACAACCGTGGTAGAATTACCGACTTGGAATGTTCAGTGGAAAGCAGTGAAACAGCATCGAAACCTAGAGCTTTCATTCACTGGGTCTCTGAGCCAGTCTCTATTGAAGTCAGGCTGTATGAGTCATTGTGAGTATTCTTTTTTAAATGTAGAGTTACAGACGCGAATCCAAGACAAGGGCGACGACATAAATACATACTTGGTTAACTCCAGTTTTGAAGAGTTGACATTAACTACTACTACTAGAAGATAATTAAGCTAAGATTATTCTCTTTCTAAGGGGAACAGAATGTCGCGGAGAACCTAACGGGTAACCGGTGCTCCGGCTCGACGTGCAGGAGAAGGAACGGGGTGGTTTTTAGTCAGTAAGAGTCTGACACTCCCTCCCGCCTCACCCAGGCGGGAGCAGTCATTCGATGATTTCCCCCCTTAAAAAAAACACGAAAAAACAGAACTGTCTTATGAAATCGAATAGAGAAAATCTAACGATCTTGAATACGGTAGATGACTAATTTTTATTTTAATGTCCGTCTGGTAGATTATTTTAAAACATTAGACATGTATTTTTATTTTTTTTACAGAAACGAATAGTTTCGACGATACATTGATTTGAAATGTCACGTCTATGTACATTTTATACGTAGAAATGACGTTTTAGCTCCCACTCCTAAACTTTGATTCGTTATATCTAAGTATCATTTTATTATATAACAAAATAAAAAATACGTGTCTAATACTTTTTCATTACCTAACTGACGGACTAATTAGATTTTTAATTTTCATAGACTGTCATCATCCTTAGAAGTTAGGTAGGTACTGTAAAAGCATAAACTAAAAATACAAACGAAAAAATACTAGTTAGTTCGATCAAACCTTAAAGTAAATAGTACGTAATCTAAGGATTGGCATTTTGCAAGACGGATGGAAGAGAAAGCTGACAACGAGTTGAGAAAACGGAAAATATTTTTCATTAACTCTAGTATCCTTTGGCGTAACTGGATTGACGACAAAAATCTTTTTAATGTCCATTATGTAACACGTTTAACTGTATTTACGTCACAAGATCCGAAATCGTCAATGAGGCGAAACATTGTATGACGTCACGTCTGTACATTTTATACTTAGTTGCAAATGACGTAGCAAACTCCTACTCTAATTTTAATATGCATGTAATAAGACAAAATTTGGAAATGTTTTATATACTTGACTTTTTGTATGAATTACTGGGCTATGAAAAAGACGAATTAAAGAAGATTTTATTATCACTTTATGTCCAAGCGCAAACTTAATAGCGAATGGCATTCTCTCCCAGTCAACTGCGAGATTGATTGTATTCAGCAGTGATAAAAAGATTTAAGTGGATGTAAACCATGATGAGGGCACAAGAAAATAATCTTCAATTTTTTTTATTTAGGTTCTTACACAAGAATCCAGAGGATCCAAGTGAGGTGCCTGGTGGTTTTATCTCCGACTGTCGCAAAGACAGCCTAAGGGTTGTGAAGGCATATGCCGACGCTTCCCTCGCCACTGCCAAAGTATACGACAAGTTCCAATTCGAAAGGATTGGATTCTTCTCAGTAGATCCTGATTCAACGAGTAATCACGTAAGTCGTCACTTATAATTGTATTAATGCGACTGTTTTAAGTTGTGTGCCTTCTCTTCGTTTTTTTTTTCGGTTTTGTTTTATTCGTCGATTTGTATCATACAGATAAATTGCATCGATCGTTTGAATCTATTCGTTGAAAATAGTCTCTTTTGAGGTTCTTTACAAATTGGGTCGCAATATAAATTCTTGGCAAGAATTCAAATAGACCACCCTCGAATAGATACAGACGACAGTTTAGTATTGATCTGCTTTTTTTGGCCATTAAAATAGTTGCATCATCCGCAAACAAGACGCCAGTGTGCTAGTAAGTACCTATTTTGGTACCTTTTATTTTATAGGTAGTTAGAACTGTGTTTTGAAGTCATATAAAGATTATCTGATCTAACTTTGTTTTTCTTTTGTTACAGTTGGTGTTCAACAGAACGGTTTCTCTCAAAGAAGATACCGGAAAATAGAAAAAATTAATTATTTATTTCATTGTAAAACAACAATTTCAATTAATAAAAATTGGTTTACATATTTATAAACTCATGTGTTTTATTTCAAAAAATCTTAAAATATTATTTGCTACGATTTATGATTGTTACACAGTACACCACAGTACTATCTGTAGTTAATAGGGACTGTGGTAAATTCTTACATTCTACAAGTGTCACATAAATACACCGAGTATCATCAGCTGCACCTCTGTCCAAGGGTAACTGATACCTTCTACTACTTACGTAAAGCTAAATCTGGAAGCGCAAAATTTGGGAACTGAAAGCATTCCATTGAATTCTCCGTCGTAAACTCTCTGAAAAGACTTCATTACATTGGGAGTTACAGCGCAATGTATTGTAAAGTTGTTGTGAAAGTGAAAGAACGGAGCTGGTGTGTGGAGTAGGTAGTTGTGGTAGGAGGGGTGGGGTGGGTAGCGCGCAGGGCGCAGGGCGACGGCGCGGCGCGTATCGAGCGTGGGCGGCCGCGCATGCCACTCCACTCGCCTCCGCCATCCCGCGATATGCACTACGACGCGGTTACATCTCGTACTAAAACCCGACACGCACGATATCACGTTATTGCGCGCGACGTGCTTACGATGTAGAAACAATACAACTTCATGTAAACTTAAGGTAAGCCCTAGTTTGTATACTTACATTACCGTGTCGTGTTCCTACAATTGATTCCCCTATGAGTATCTGGTTGGCCCTACGATGTTCATTACCATGGGCCGGTGGAAAGTGGTTCAAGTGCGTCATGTTGACGTGTGTGTGACGTAACCTACTGAAATATTAAAAGTTCAGTTCTATTTTCCTGTAGAGAAAAGATTTACTGTCACACGTAGAGGCCCTGTCACCTTGAGAGTTGTACCTACTGCTTTCTATGTACTAGTCTGTATGTTAATCCTCGTATTTATTGTATCACTACACAAATAGTTATGGAAAGGATAATAATAGACGCAAAAATTGTGTCTAGTATCACCAATGTCATACATTTATGTCTATACAGCTACTGTCAGTTTAAAACTCTTCGGTTTGTAGGAGCGGCCTTCCCTAACACGTTATAATATAACTGTATATCTAGTTCACCCTATAGGTACAACATGAGTCTGTTATTGATTCGTTAGATCTCTTAGTACTCGGGTTTGATGTTTGTTATTGTAAGCCAAGCTAATCTGTGTTTGTTAGGCACTTTCAGGTTGATGTCTACAAACATACCTATTGTGTAAAATGATTTAGGTAGTATGTTTAATCCTTCTATACTGTTTGTATGAGCATTAATTTTGTTAGGAAATGGATAATGATTAAACCCATTATACGCCATTTTTAAGCTTAAGCTCTTAAATAGCGTAGTAGCGTTTATAACCATTCTAAATTCATTTTAAAATACCATACATTAATTAGTTTCTAACGATACATATAAATCTAAGGTCAGTAAGTTAAAGTACGGCCTCAGTAATCTAATGAGCCGTTTACAAAAACTATACAAAGACAGCTAAATTAAAATAAATATTCGCAGTAGTTTTGTCGCGAGCCACTGGAGCTTATCTTCTGTTATCAGCTGTACCGACATCACACAAAATGCTGGTTCGATTACTTAAATGGAACGCGATTTGCATATCTCCATACACTTTCACACCATGCAATGTTTGTCCTACTGAAATACACGCGCATATACGTACATAGATTTAAATTAAACAAGGTCAAACTGTTGTCGAAAGTACAAAAGTACCACTTATAACTTTAGTTGCTGTTGTAATGTACCTACAGTTATGTATCGGTTTTTGAAACTCGTTTAAAGTTATGTCTATCTAGAGAAGATTTTATGTACTTCTGTTATAATGATAATGCAGTGGGACGTTCATGCCTGAAAATAAAAAAAATAAATTATGATAATTAATGTCACTTCATACATTTTAAACGACATCGTCACCATCAGAGAGTTTTCGTCCACTGCTGGTCATAGAACCTCTCCAATATTGATTACGTCACTGAACTTTTCTCCAATAACTGATATTAAAACTCCAACAGCTACTAATTACGATTTTGTAGCATATATGTAGATCCAAATTCATAATAAAATTGTCGTAGATCGCCTACGCCGTAGCAAGTTTCGTAGCAAACTTCGTAGAATTTCCCAGTATCTTATTTTTAAACTCTTCCGTTGAGTCAATTAACTGTTACCGTCTGTAGACGTTACGTTTAACCTTCAAGCGGGCGCGCGTAGTCGAATCGACCGCGGTTAATACATTTTCGTTCGTATTTTTATTTCTAGTTGCCACATGCATTTCTAATTTCTAGTAGCCTGTCACTATCTTTTTAGGAGTAAAATAAAAACTATTTCGTTGCTTGAAGCGCTCTCTACACTCCACAAATTACAATTGTTTAGGCTCTGGCGCAGTCGTTGAAAAGACTACACGCGCCTGTCGTCGAATAGGTTACGCGCGACGCCCAACGCGACATACACATGTCAATATTATCTAATTCAGCTTGGAGTTTTGGTGTTTTAAAGCATTTTTTGTTTAAATAAGTCGTTTATGGTTATCGCAAAGTACAGTAATCGAGGAATTACAAAGAGAAGACGAAGAAGAGAGTGAATCAGAGCTTAGCAACCAAGGCTCTGAAACTTCTCATCACATAGTTTTAGAAGAACATCTATCTGATGTGATATCATCCTTGTCGGATTTAGATGAGAATAATTTGTAGCTTTCGGAAATAAATAGCTGTTTTACAGGACGCGATAAAGTAACGAAGTAGCAAAATCTGAAAAATTACTAGAATACTGACTCAGACGAAAATAAAATCAAAATTAATGAGTTTTTACAGTTTTATCCTTACTTTTTATTTATTTTTTGGTCTACGTATATAAACCAACCTAACATATGTAAACGGGTCTTAATTTTTATTTTGATCCAAAGAATATTTGAGTTACTTTAGGTGACTTAATAATTGCTTCTTTTTCATAATTTTAATTACTTGTTGTGACAAATTTCTCTTTAAAGACAATGATATTGTATCTTAGTACAAATTAATAAATGATTATCCCATAATTATTGCTTTCTTGGTCTTATTCATCCCATAGGTCTATTCGGTTACGCGCGCCCGCTCCCGTTACAAAAGACCGCGCGCCCGCTTGAAGGTTA